TACACAGAAGGTAGCGTTTTTTATGATTACGCAACGGGTCTATGCCGCAAATGTTTACCTTCCAATAGCACAAGTAAGTCAATATCCACAAAATAGATACATTAAGCTTGCTGGGTTGATTATAAACGGAAATTTGGTTAAAGATTTTTATTAATGGATACACGAAAAAAAAGTATAAAGTCAGTGTTATTCAGTATTTGCTAGTTTTTATTCCTCTGTATAGAATACAGTTTCAGAATTTAGAGTTGAGGGGGGAAAATAGAGATTTTAATCATGGAACGACGGCAAAGTAAGTTTTAATTGTAGATTGCTTCCCAAACTCGGGAAATTGCTAGTGTTTGTAACACGATCACTCCTGTCCATAGTAAGTTTTAAGAGTAAGTGCAAGTGGCACGTTAACTTATTTTTTAATTAAAATCTCTGTAATTTAAGAAGGAAGAAATAGACGCTAATTGAGTGGGAGGAGGTAAACTTGCATCTATATCACAGAGAATAGTGTTTCAAGATTTGCTGGTGAGCCTTTAGCACCACAAAACAGACGCTTTTGCCAGAAACTCAAGAAGAAGCTTCTTCAAATCTGTTGTTTAAGTACATTTCTTGCAAAAAAGGTCGGACGAGTTTAGTTTCGGACAAAAAAGTTTCTGGAAATAAAACCGTCCGAAATTGGTCCGAAATTTTCAGCGTCCGAAACACTTACAATACAGTATCAAACTTTTAAAAAGCTACAAAGCTCTTAGTTTCCTTTTTGGAAGGAACCCTACGTAACGGCTTGATAGAATTTATGATATTCCCTCGTCGGTGTATCTGTAAAACCTTGAGGCAGCAGTTAAACTATAATTTTCACAGCTGTTATTTTAGGCTAATTCGTGTTTTCTTTATGCTTAAATTTACTTTAGCTATGTTGCAGCAAAGTGTCTGAAATTTTTGTCCGAAATTTGTCCAAAATAGATAAAATGTGTTCGAAAATTAAACGTCCGAAATTTTTGCAAGTAATGCAAGATGACTGATCCTTTCGGCATCATTGCTGTACAGATTCGGTTGTTAATGCATTTTAGCGCCTTCCACCACAGTTTGAATAAAAGCCAGTGAAGTCCTTGTCAATAATCCTGCAATTAAGGAAAAAATAGACACAACAAATTTCAATCAGTATGTACGCCGGCACGATGTGCATTGATCTAAGATAAGCATCCGTTATGCATTTGCCCTTAATATGTTACACTTACATCTCAAGAAATGCTGTCTTCATAGAAATTACATGTTCAACATCACTTTCAGTCCTTTCCAAACTTTTTCCAGCGTGGAGATCATAACTGAATTACAACTACTCATTGCTGCCTCGTTTATCATCGTTTTGAGACAGTGCTGATTGTAGCAAGAAAATTCAAATAAACCGGTAGAGAATCGCGACAGCCACTACGATATAGATTTTATGATTTTCAGCTGAACCTCAGAGAGGTTGGCACCCGGTGGGGCGACTCCCATGCGAAAAGATTGGGGATTCTCGTCGTCTAGCTTCGGTGTGTCAACCAAAAATTCTTGTCTCGCTTAGGGTGTCCAGGACGAAACGCCACTATTTTCTCACTGCCAAAGTATCTTTTAGAGTGCACTCCAAGAGATAACAATTAAAAAACGCTCACATTTCCGTTCTTAGATTCGATTTCTGCCAGTCTCTCGAGTCCGGTCTACTAGCCCGAGATTCGTTGCTGAACAGCGGCTAGTAATCAACCCTATTCCGTTTTAAGTGGTATCTTTTAGTGGTCAAACATAGAGCTTGAGCCACAACTAGATTCGTCTCCTTTAGGGGTTTAGTTCAAATTTTTTGACGAGCATCCCCGACCTTTTCATTTGGAAGTCCCCCCACAGGTTGGCAGAGCTATAATTGTCAGTCTTTAGACGAATCTTTTTGGCAGGACGAGCGTGTGCTTTCTGAAAACACACATGAACTTCTCTTCTTACGGAATCATAAAGGATGCATTCTATTCCTGCAAGTGTTGACACATTATGCTCTTGCCATTTGAAAAGTGTGTTCCTGCCACAAACTCTGGTTGCAATATTTACTTAAGCTATGGAATTGCTTTAACGCGAGGGCGCGAAGACAAATACATTAGTGTCAAATCATGGGACCAATCAGACCCCACCCGATAGAATCCTCTTTCAAAACAGAAACCAAACAAAGGCAAAGATTGCAGGATGAAAGAAGGACTTCAAGGAAATTGCAATGAATAGTGAGTGAAGGAAATGAAATGCGTATCTCGACGAACAATGATTATTTATTTAAGAAAGAGCTGCCGTAACTTTAAACTTTTAACTTAACGTAATGAAATATCAGGAGCCATAATGGAAATATGCAATATTGAACAGTTGTCCGACTCACTTGCAATGCTCGTCCTTTAGTCTCGATGGGCAGAAGAAGCACAGTGACTATGCCCAGAACAGAAAATCCGCTGTACAAACTAAGTGATAGCAGGATGGAATGAGGCATCAGAACCTGGAGAGGGAAAAAGAAACGAAATAAACATAACTACAAAAGCAATACGGAGTCATCTACCGTCATAAAGAGTTGCACTTTGTTTGGCTTAGAGAAGAAAGACGCAAAAATATAGTAGTCTCTATTTCGCCAGTTCTCATACAGTTCAAATTAGAAGTTTAAAATGTTGGTTTATGAGGATGAATGATGGGAAACCGCAGAACTGACAGAAAATCCCTCTCATCATGAGTACGGAGGAGGGGGGGGGCGGGGGTAGGGGGGATAAAAATAAACTGAGCCGCGTATTCTTGATTCGGCGTTTGCTCTAAAAGCACAAATTGCTCATCGAGAGAGCTTATGCCAATTACAATCTTATTTTTTTGGAAAGACAAAATCACGGTCGCGGAGAGAAAGGGAAATATCAACAATAATTACAAAAAATGGCTTGATTGGGAGACAAAAGACTGAACAGAATACACAATTTTAAATTAAGTTCGAAGTCAATTCATATAATCGAATCCACACATGACCGCGTCCCGAATAGTGGTAGGCGAAAGCTTAACTATTGATGTTTGTTTACGTTTAATATTCACTCACCATGGCAACAAAAGGAGTTATCATACAGCCAATCCTCGCTGCTCCGGAGCATGCTCCCAGGCCGATACCGCGCATGTTCGTGGGATACACTTCCGGGGTGTATACATAGCCGCACATATCAGCAATACTTATGAACAAACGAGAGCCGTACAAAAACAGCGTGGTCGATAAACGACTGGTGAAAGAAAAAAGGACGATGAACAGTGATGAGCAGCTTTCCAAAAAGAAACCAGCCAAGATTGTTTTAATTTTGGGTACAATACACAATTTGGCACATGCCTTGAGCGAAACGCAAACAAGAGAAAAAATTAATTACGGCCTGAGAATCAGGCTTTTAGAGGGGGACAGACAGATAAAAGAACTTCAAGTGAGGGATTTATAAAGTGGGACAAAAATTTGCTATAATGCAGGTAAACTCGTTACGTTTTGCCTGACAGATCTCTGGTATCCATCCCTACTCCTGAATAGGAATCGAAGAGAGCTAAAAGAGGTACTGCAAAGCACCCAACTGAGAGCAGAACGTTCGAACCCACATCGCTCAATCCTGACTCCAATTAAGGCTTTTAAAGCCAGTATAACCCGAGTCCTTCTTACATGAAGAATCGACCCTCTCTTCTTTCCCGAAAAAACAAAAGACATGGAGAGTGATGATCACCAATTCTCAGAAGTTGCATCGAAAAGAACGTGCCGATATCGGTAGGGAGAACTGATATTTTCAGATTGAGGCAAGGAGTCAACGAAAGATTAGTTATACTCACCTTCTTGTACAAATAAATAAGGCTGTTAGGAAAATAGCACTTCCTAGGAAAGCCGCAAATTGAACCATTTTTCTACCTATTTTGTCCACCATGAAAAATATAAACACTAATCCTATAAGATAAAAAAATAAACATATCAATTATAATTCATCATAAACTTTATTTAACCTCGAATTTACAGAGTAGCATTGCTGCAAATTTCTTCGAGCTACCTAAAGTTAGAATTTAGAAAACGTTGGTGCGCAAGCGATTGTGACATCTTTGTGAATTGGTCAGTACATTTACTAAAAAGGTACCAGGAAGAGTGAGGCGGAAGGAGCGCTGGTGGAAGGAAGGAGTGAATTCAATGTTCTACTGTACACTCAGAAAATGACGCCATTTTCTGAGTAAAAACAAATGGATAGATAAATCAAGTGATTGATTCAGTGATTGGTTATTTGCTTGTTTGATTGATGGGAAAGGTAACAAACAATGTAAAACATAAATCATTTAGTTAGGATCTACAAACGTCTGCCACGAACATAGGGTGTATTAGACGAACAATGTTTGGACCAGCCTCTGGGACTGAATTGCACATGGTGAAATGAGAAAATAAAATTTTTACCTAAAAGATCGCCTGACATAACAATAAAGTAATTAGCGTAGTCTTGATAATCAAGCTGTTTACAAGGAGTGGCCTCGGGTGAGGCATTATCTGAAGTATTTGTAGTACTGGCCCCTTCAGGATTGATACCTGCAATTATACAACAGCACTTATTAACTGACATAAATCAGGATTTTCCCACCAAAGGCATTCGAAGCTATTTGATATTATGCGACTACCACTCTGACGCAAGCGTACTCATCTCCAACTTAAATCTGAGGAAATTTAAGGTGGCTCCGAATCTCCTCTTTATTCTAAAATCGCAATGAACTTAAGCCTAGTTACCTCTACAAGGGTCCGTTCTAGAGAACATCTCAGTTGTTATAAGCGCTATTCCATAGATTACAAAGTGGCTACTGAACCTGTAAACAACAGAAACATAAGCTAAAAAGAGTTACTTGATGGCAGCTTGCTAACTATGGTTGCAATAATTATAACAACTATTTTAATTCAGTGAGATCAGAGAATCAAATCAAAAGGCAGTCACACAAGACAGCGTT